ATTTATTATATTAGTGTATATGTATATTAAATGGCCTGTGTAGAGGGAGCGTACACTGCATATTGATTCTGAAACAAAAAAGAGTGCGATACATTTGGGTTATATTCTTGGTCCATCCGTGTTGGTTGAATGTATGCATGGAAAAAAACCCCCCACCAAATTTGGAAAAATATAATCTTCATAATGTTTTCGGAAATACAAGGATGTTTGTAACCAGGACAGGAAATTAGCAACATTATTTATGAGCAGACAAATAAGTCTGCTCGTTTCCTGTCCTCCGCTTGCAAATATACTTGTATTTTCAAAAACAGCATAATAAAGATGATATCGTTCCAAATCCAGCATATTTTCTTTTGTGTACTGTCAATCAATATAAATGGACCAAGCTTATTAGCCAGATCTATTGTGCTTTTCTGTTCCGGAATCAATACGCAGTACTGAACTTAGTACAGACAGCAAGTACTATTTAGATAAATATATCAGGTCTGTAGAATGTTGGTGAACATCTGGGAAGATAAGTGTTTACTTTTAAGTGAATTTCCACTTTTGCAGCCAAACTGGGACAACACCTATTTTATATATTTGTTACATGGTGTCGTTCACATAGCATAACTTAGGAAAAATAAAAATGGCTGCCTTTATATTACTTGTTTTCTGTAAACTGAGTTTTCTGGTGGAATGCAAGGGAGCTGGGGAGGATATAATATTTAACCCTGCCTTTGCTGTGCGGTCAGATCTCATTATCAGTTGTAACTAGATTAGAAAACTTTCTGCCCTAAAAATGGGTCAAAGACCTTGAAGCATTGTATGTTAATGAGAGGAAACTGTCCCTAGTCTTTCTTTGGCACAGCCAGAGTTTCCAGTCCCTTTGAGGCTGGGTTCACACCTAGGTCGATTCAGATGCCGAGCTGTTTTCGTGCGACAAACCACAAAAGGTGTGAGCAGCCTCTATTGACTTCAATGCAAATCTGTGTTTTTGCGCGATAAATCGTCTAGGTGTGCACCGGCCTTGAAAGGCCAGCTACACAGACACATCTAAAAAGGTAAGTAATATTTTAAAAAATTATAATTTAAAAAGGTAAGCTGTGTAGAAATAGGAACACAAAAACATAAATAGTGGGGTTTGCTCAATTGTGACTGCAATAGTGGAAATACATTTTAAGGTGTAGTGAAGCCAATCTAAACACTAACTGGATGACATTTTGTTTGCTTAGAGCTAAACTGCAAGCAACTGACTAAATACGCAAATAAAATGTGTATATATAGAAGCCATTTTATCTGCCAAATAATTTGCATTTCTCTCCATCTAGTTCTGAGAATTACACAGTTCTGGCACGCAGCATAGCGGTGCCTTGAAGGGCTCTGTTCACACCAGTGCAGTCCATTCCGATGCGGGGGGGAAAAATGCTGCATGCACTATTTTGTCTGATCTGGAACGCACCAACACACATAAAAACACACTGGAACACACCAGACTGCACCTGAAGCCCATTTTAAGCTTTAAAAAAATGCACTGGAATGCACCGAAGCAAGTCACAAATGCACTGTGTTTGCAGATCTGCTCTGGACATGGTGTGAACAAGCCCGAAACGAGGAGACCTAATTTTTCTCTCTTGCAATTTAATAACATTTTCAGGTCTTACCCCACCCTCTGAAAAAAGAAAGAAACAGCTGACTGATGAGCTCATCTCTGTCACTGTGCTGTCTCCTCCTATCTGTGTATTTCTTGTAAGTACATAAGCACAGCAGCACAACTGATTGGCTCCTTGTGCTGCTTCTTCTCCCAGTCTAAGCTCTGCTGGATAAGCTCCTATCGTAGCACTGGAAAATCGCAGCTCTGTCTAGGGTCACCGAAGGGAAGATTTGTATAACAAGCAGCAGTAATCCACACATAGGATACTCTTCAATACAAGGTAAATAATCTGATTTATAACGCAGAAAAAAAAAAACTGTAGTCTTGAGTCAAGTCTTAAAATTAGGTAAATACAACCTCAGATGAACAACGACAAATGACATATTACAAGGTCTCATTATTTATTTTACAAAACAAAGCCAAAATTTAGAAATTATGTGTGAAAAACTAAGTACACCCTTACAGGAATTAAAAAGCTAAGTAGCCACCCGGTGCTGCTAATCACACCTGCCCCAGTGCATTCCGACCGCCTCACTTTGTTTTGGGGCGGGAGGGGGTGTGACGGTGCATCAAAGTCAATGGCACCGCAGCCACGCCCTCCGGCCGCAGTGCGTGCGTTCGGATCCGGTCACAAAAAATGCTGCATGCACTATTTTTTTCAGTGGCCAATGGTTACTCGAACATGTAATTTTTTGCCTAAAACATCCAAAAATATTATCCATTTCTGCTTTGCGATGTCAGAACCACATAATGAAACCTGCAGCGGAGGCCACTATTCTTTATTTTAAGATCCATTGATATTTTCACACACTTATATGTATAAAGCAACAAGCAAAGTGCAGCAACCAATCAGAATTCATTTCTCTTTGTTCTCGTTACAAAACCTGAATGGTTACTATGAGGTTTTACCTTTTATTGCTCAATTGTACCAACCTCACACAGACAAGAAAACCAATTGAAATTATTTTAAAACAGATGTTTTTTCCAGTTTTAAGCACCAATATACTTCTAATATGCTTTCTGGCCATATTATCCTCTCACTGTTTTCAAGTGGGATCAGGTTTCTACGCCATATGTATATCCAGTTCCCAGAACACAAACAGTAAGCATTTCTAAGGTCCTTGAAAGGCACAGATACGAGGATAGAGATTTGCTGAGCTGAACCTTGCCAAGATTGCTAGTACAAAACTGCAAATATATTATGAACATGAAACTCGGGTGGTGGGTGCGGTTTTAAATGCCCGGAGTTCCTCTTTAACCACTTCAAGACCAGGTGTTTAGACCCCCTTCCTGGTGGGGCGCCCGCACCGATCGTTGCAAAATACAAGCGATCCCCCGGCTCTACAGCCGGCGGATCGCTTGTATGTTAACAGGCACCGCTGTCTGTTTTTAAATTGCGGTCATTTCCCGCTCGTGCGCGCCCAGCGGCGCGTGCGAGGGGGCGTGTCTGAGTGGACGTCTAAAGACGCCCGCTCAGATCTAGAGAGCTCCGGCCGGACGTTTTTTTACTACGGCCGGCCCGGAGGTGGTTAAAGAAGCAAGTCTCAGGGCCGAGACTGCATACAAAGCATGTTTAGCATTTAGGCACAGACGTGGCTAAAAAGCAAAAATGGGGCTTATTTCTGCATCATTCGGCAAAAGGTTGGACAGCACTGTTAGGCTCCAGTCACACAGGCGTTTGCGTTTTACGAAAACACGCAAACGGTAACAATTGCGCAGAATCCGCACATAAAATTGCACTTGGACTATTTTGCGGGATGTGCGGTTTCATACCGCTCAGGCGCTGCAATAGTATGAACAATGCACATTGGAATGTATTTTTTTTGTTTAGGGCGTTTCCGCACAAAACCCGCTCATGTGTGAATGGGGGCTTACAGATTCTTAGCATTTTCACTGTGACAACAGCTCCCACCAGAAGCGCAGTCATTGCCGAGCACTCTTTCACATGGAAAGGACTGATCAGTATAATTTTTAGGTGATATTTACTCCGCGATGCTAAACGTAGCATCCTGCAATGCAAAGTTTCAAGCGACACAAGACTTAAGAGTCAAATCTTAACAATACTTCTCTTAAAGGAGAACTATGAGGTGAGTGATTTCCACTCATAGTTCGAGCCGAATTGTGACAATGAAACTGTCACGAATCGGCTCAATAGATCGGTAAGTGAGCGAACACATACCGTCGCTCGCTTACTTCTCGATCATCTCCCTGCAGAGAGCCATGACTGTCACTCACCTCCCTGTAGGGATTGAACCCCCCCCCCTCCCCACTCCAATCCTCCAGCGCTGACTGGTGGAACAGACGAGGGAGGGGGCGTGTACAGTTGGCTCTGCCTCTAGATAGGCAGAACCCGCTGTCAATCACACAGCTGGGTGGATCTCGACAGTAATGCGGTGGTCTCAGTATACCGCGAGTTGTAGCATGCGATATACTGAGCTTTGGGTCACGGGAGGACATATACTAGCGTAGGAGAACTAAGGGGAAAAACACTTACCCCATAGTTCTCCTTTAACAATAATCAAAACTGTTCTTTATTTGTACATTACTCAGCTGTAGATCCTAAAATCATCTCTGAATTGGTGCGACACTGTCCTTCCTTCTGAAGTGTGGCTACTTTTGTTCCCCGTGGTCTCTGTGGGCCATGTGCCAGCCCATTAGCGAAATACTTACTGTTAAGACTGTTATGCACATTTTCTATACTTTTTTTTACATATTTCAAAATAGAAGATTGGAAAAAACATTGAAACAATCTTCAGCAATGTTGCAATGCATGCTACAAATATAGGGTAGATAGAAAACCAAATCCTCCAGTTAGTCATTTCCTGAATTTACATAGTGCCGATATACTATGCAGTGCTTTACAAAGTATTCAGAACCATTTACACCAGTCTCTGCCCAGCTGAAGGACTTTTAATTCAGTGTATATACATTTCAGGATCAAAAGTTAGTTAACAGACCAGGCTATGTCTGGGAGAAAACAGGAGCACCCAGAAAAACCCACAGTTAATGTGTCTGGTAGGCTGTCAACCCAGGAGCCACAGAGCTGTTTATTGAATGTTTAGTTCACTTCAGACAAATTATTGCACAAAAATTTACTTAAAAAAGGTATTCTAAAAGGAAATCCTACCTTAACTAAACAGTTGCTGTGTCCAGGAACAGAGCCATTCACATAAATGATGTTGTGTGTTGTATTTATTCTCCACACCTGTTATAAATATAAATATCATTACTGAACAGAAAGCCATCCGTCATCAGTATAACCACACCACCAGGCTTATTAAATAAGGCAGCACATTGAACAATATCAATGTGCTTAGTACAGTAATCCACAGCATAGACAAGCAAAAAACCCAGCAGATTCCAGCAGATATAGTGAGAATCTTAGAGAATGGTAAATTATGAATACAACTTCCACCCAGTAATATACAAAGTTCATATATTAGCAGAGGCACAATCACAGATTCTGGGGACATCTTCTAGATCGTGCTTCTCAACTGGTGAGTCGCAACCCAAAAGTGGGGTGTGAGACTCTGTATGTGCGTGTGTGAGATTGTGTTGGTTGTGTGTGTTTGTCAGTTTTTTCGAGGGCCTGTTCACACTAGTGCAGTGCGTTAATCACACAGTCCCATGCGATTACACTGTACCACACAATCACAACTACTATTCATTAGAATTAGGGATGCACCTAAACATATCGGCCAAAAATGGCACTTTTGGCTAAGTGCCGAAAGTGCCATTTTTCTGCTGATATAGCCGTGCATCCGTGCTTTCTTTCCTCCCCGCTGGGCGATTGCTGTGTGTCCCAGCGGGGAGGAGAGAACCTGTCACAGGCGGCCGAGCGCTGCAGGAGGAGGGCACCGTCAGGCATCTCTCCTCCCTGGACCGCTCAGCCTCCTGTCACAGATCGGCAGAGCGGTGTGTGGGCGGAGACAGCCAGCACTGTCACAGGAGGCTGAGCTCTAATCCCGCGCTGCTCGCTCAGCCCGTGACAGCTATCAGGATGGAGAGCGCGTACAAAACACTCAGTGATCAGAAATCACTGTGTTTGTACATAATTGAGGACATAGTATGGTTGCTATATCCTCAATTACAAATGAATGGGTATTGATCTACATCACCTCCTGTACATTCATGATTGTGGATATAGTAAACATGCTATGTGCACAAGTTATGAATGAACAGGAAAACTCAGCATAGAGGCTTCCTGTTCATTTATCATTCGGTGCACCTCCAATTAGAATGGCACCCCAAGCGCACCTACCACCCACAGTTTGATCGCCCGCAACAGAATGCGCAGTCCTGAAATGCCATGCGTTCCAGTGCGGTGCGACTTGGGTTGCGAATTAATGACTAAGGACAAATGTAGGTCCTGAGGTTACACAGGTATAGAACCACTGCTCTAGCTATTTTAGTACCACAGCAATTCGCAAGCTCATAAAGTTCATGGAACATTCCTTTCATGGATATTTACTAAAGACACCACGTACTCAACTTACAGTATATGTTAAATTAAAAAAAAACTAAATAAACTGAAATATTAACCTTTACAAAAATATTAATAGTAAATAATGTAACAAAGAAGTGTTACAATGTTCCTTTTCAATAAGTATGGCGTTCAAGAATTTAATGTATTCTTATGGTCTTTATCCTCTGCTATAAATACTTTTTCCAGTACCATATTTTGTTATACGCATAAAGAAAATATTGATCGTATGCAATATAGCTAAAGTTCACATGTGTGTTTTCCAAATCTATCAAAAAAATTTATAGGTTTTAAGAAATTTGGTAAATGAAAGGTAAATAAAACAAAGTTGGGATGGAATTCTATGAATATTTAGAAAATAAATATGATGAGATGCAGTTTCCCATGCTGTAACATTATGAGAATCATTAAATCATCTCAGACATCATGTCTAAACAAAATAAGGTCAGACTATTCAAGGCCTATAAGTGAAGTAAACCCAAAATCTAGTCTTCTAATCATAATCATATTTGGCATCATGCCTCACTGTTTCCTTAAAGGAGAACTATGGAGGGGAGTGAAAATCACTCATCCTCATAGTTCGAGCTGACGTGTGACAATGAAACTGTCACACATCGGCTCAATAGATCGGGAAGTGAGGGAACACATACTGTCGCTCATTTCTCGATCATCTCCCTGCAGGGATTCCCCCGTCCCTGCTCCGATCCTCTAGCGCTGACTGGAGGAATGGGTGGGGGAGGGGGCGGGTACATCTGGCTCTGCCTCTAGATAGGCAGAGCCAGCTGTCACTCATGCAGCTGGGTGGATCTTGACAGCATGGTCGGGATCCATCCCGGCTGCGGCGCTCTCAGTATACTGCGTATAAAAACACTTACCCCATAGTTCTCTTTTAAGTAAATAATGTTTGTGAATCTAATGCAAGGCTTCTTAGCTTGTGATTTAATCAGAAACAGCCATTCCTGTTGCAGGCAACAGTAAGCTGCTGAGTCATAATTGGAGTCAGCAGCTTGCCGTGTGCTCTTCTTCAGCTGCCTGCTGGGCTGCTACCGGCTAACTGAAGGAACTTCCACATCATGCCAGTCATCTACTAACCGGAATTATATAAAAATGTTAGCATTCCTGCACCATTCAGAATGGCCTACCAAACACAATAACCTCCCCCAATATTGCAACAGAGTGCAGAAAAATTGTCCTCCATGAAATGGCCCCCAGGAACCAAATTTCAGCTTTGTGTAGAATAGTTAGACTACTTAGTGCTGATCGGTCATGGTGGATTTCTAATTGGAAAGTCAAATTTTACAAGATTTTGCTGAACTTTATAAAACTGGATAATGATCTGAACTCCAAAATAAAATTGCAATGTCTGCTTTTCATAAAAGGTGCCAATGAGCATCATACATTTCCAAACTGAGTGTTAAATACTACTGGGTGTTAGTAAAAGAAATTGCATTTTAATAGCTGCCATGCTGACAAGGTGTGATGCTTTTCTGCAGAAGGGTTCAAAAATAAATTAACCAACAAACCTTAAGACCATAAGATGTCCTGTAGAAGTTCCCCAAAGGTCCGGGCATTTTTGTTCCTGGAAACACTCGCGCTGGATCCTATTTCAAGATATTAACATTTGAAAGTCTTAAATCCAAGTTATTGAGTGCAATACAGTTTTGCAATCTATTTTTAAATTTTAATATATAAAGAACGGAAAGTTTAAACTAGATTTATAAACTGTTGATTTTGCCTGTAAATCTGTTCACTTTTCACTTTCCATAATAGGCCAAGGTGTCCAGCAAAAGTGACAGCTTAAGTGGGCCTTTCCCCAAAAATAAAAAAAGCCTAGTGTGTGTGTGCAGCTGTATCTGAAAACATCTCCCAGTCATAGCTAAAATAAAAACGTTTTGCTTTGGTACTCGCATTTTATTTAATTCTCCTTCCTGGATATTCTGAGGCACTGATGACATAGCCAGTGCCTCACAAATGGGAAGGCTATGTCACCAGTGGCTTCCAGGAAGATCTCGCTTATAAATTGCAAGATCCCATGAGACCATGGGGGGGCATTTTTTCACAGTTGACAACAGATGACATCAGTAAGCAGGAACAGAAACCATGGAAGAAAAAGCCGGCCACCAATGGCATCAACTGTTAAAATGGCAGCAAGAGTTTGCAGAGAAAAAGGGTTTAAGCATACTAGAACACACTATCAAATGAGGCAACTGATATTAGATATATTTATTTGGCAATACTTATTTTATTAAGGTTGGAGATTTCAGATGGGGGGTGCTAACTTTCACTACCTGCTGTCCGGCCGTTGTAATTAAACGGCCGGACAGCGGCTTCTTGAGGGCGGGTGGGCGTCTTTAGACGTCCTATCCCGTTACGCTCGTGCCCACCGCTAGGCGGCGCACACGAGGGGGAAACCGGCTTTGAATGTAAACAGCCAATGATGGCTGTTTACATACAAGCGTTCGGGCGTCTGTAGAGACGCCCGATCGCTTGTAATATCCGGTCGGGTCTGCGGGCCTCCGTCGCCGCCGCTGGAGATCCTGGGCTCCGCTGTTCCCGGTGTGAGCCTGGGACCAGCACAGCAGCTCTGCGGCCGGAGATCAAACGGAGCTCAGTACACAAGCTCCGTTTGATCTCCTCTTCTGAATGCAGGCAGTGATGTGTATTACATCACTGCCTGCATTCAGTGTCATTCTCCGATACAGAAACTGGAGAGAAGCTGGTGAAACATGTCTCTGCTTCATCAGCTTCTCTGGGGGTCCCTAGGTGACATTAGGGGTCTTAAGACCCCTGATGTCTCCATAAAGAGGACCTGTCGCTGCAAATTGGCTATCACATAGGGAGCTTGTTCAGTGAAAAAAAAGGTTTAAAAAAATTTGTTGTTACAAAAAAAAAAAAATTACATATCAAAGCAATAAAAAAAAAAAAAAATAAAACCCCCCCTATATCAAAGCAATAAAAAAAAAAAAAAATCAAGTCCCCCGCCCCCACGCGTCAAGCCCGCCTACGTGCGAAAACGCTGATTACATCCATTGCGCCGCACATGTTACATATTGCCGCGAACGTCGGAATGAGAGCAATAATTCTAGGGTCATCAATCACTGATAACACTAAACTGATGAGCGGTAAAAGCTTTTAAAGCGTCAGCTATGGTCATTTTTGAGTATGGTAGTTTTTGTGATTTAACGGGTGCTCGCAATTTTAAAGCTTGACATGTTTGGTGTCTATTTACCCGACGTGACCACGTCTTTTATATTTTACAACAAAATTGGGTAATAATAAATGTTTTGTAACATAACGTAGGGAGAACAGGTTTTTTTTTCAAAATTTTCGGTACTTTTATTATACAGTAAAAAAAAAAACCTGTAGTGGTGATTAAATACCACCAAAAGAAAGCTCTACCTGTCCCCAAAAAATTGTATAAAATACATTTCAGTACAGCGTTGCATGACGGAATAAATGTCAGTTAAAGTACCGCAGCGCTGAATACTGAAAAATGGCGTGGCCAGGAAGGGGGTATAAACACGTCAGCAAGTGGTTAAAGGAGATGTAAGAAAACATATATTACTGGTCAGCTTTTATTAATATGGCTTAAAAATCCATTTAAAACTACATGCCCAACCATCTTAACCTACCTTATCCACAACATAACACTAATGCTGCTTCACAATTTCACAGTAGAACAGAAAGTATTATCACTAAAGGAGGAGGAAAAAATAACAGTTCTTCTGGCAGTATCAACAGGTAATAAAACTATGTTATGGGAGACTAACAAAAAAAAAAAAAAAAAAAAACGCTGAGTACATACACAT